AGCTATAACAGGGTCATTTATAAAAGGGGAGTAGCCACACATTCCCAAAAGCCTATAAAACCTAAATGAAAACTCAAAACTTTACGAAACTTGGTGAAAACATGTGACAGAAGACACTTAACAAGCATGCGAAGTTTCATGGAGATCGGAGCATAGTTGGCGCTATAACAGTTGAAAAGGCCTCAAAAATACAATATTTGTATAGAAAATGACCTCAAATTCTAGATAATGTTCATATATTCACAAAAACACAAGATCTTCATATCGTATGATAGAACTCCTCATTCTGAACAACTTTACCTCTGGGACTAATAATGTCAATCAAATGGTTCATTAAATATTCACAAATATGTTAAAAACCTGCTTTTGCGAACTAGTCCTAGGTTTTTCGCTCAATCTCAATCAAACCACTGCAGCGCAATTCTCTGGACTCTGTAGATCAATAATTATCAAAAAAAAATTGAATTTTGTCTTTTGATTAGCTATAACAGGGTCATTTATAAAATGGGTGTAGCCACACATACCCAAAAGCCTATAAAACCTAAATGAACGCTCAAAACTTTACGAAACTTGGTGAAAACGTGTCAGATGACTCCTAACAAGCATGCGAAGTTTCATGGAGATCGGAGCATAGTTGGTGCTATAACAGTTAAAAAGGCCTCAAAAACACAAGATTTGTATAGAAAATTACCTCAATTTGTAGAACATGTTCATATATTCACACAAGCACTAGATCTTCATATCATATGATAAATCTCCTCATTCTGAACAACTTTGCCTCTGTGACCAATGTTGTCAATAAAACTGTTAATTAAATATGTGAGATTATTTAAAACACCTACTTTTGTGAACTAGTCATAGATTTTAAACTCAATCAATAAAATCAGTGCAGTACTATTCTCTAGACTCTAGGTCAATAATTATCAAAAATTTTGAACATTTGGATTTTTAATATATAAACCAGTCATTTTATAATATGTTCTTTACATAGTGTACCCAAAGGCCTATAAATCATAAAAGAAAGCCTACAACAT